AGTCTTGCCCAGCCTACTACTTCTAGCTCAGTCCAGCTAACTGACTTTGCCACTCTGAGATTGAATGCTTGGCCTGGAGCTCTGGCATCCAGCCCTTCTGTTAGAGGTATTAATGCAAGAAGCCAAGGTGTGCTCAGCAAAACGAGTAATGGAACTATCAATGACTGCATACCCTTCAGAAATTCACCCAGCAAAGGCTACTCCGAATATCCATCTTCACAGACCCAAGACCAAGCCGTGGTTCCCAAGACGTTGTCTCTCCCTCCCTTGCTGTGACCTTCCACAGTGAATTGCAAAGCTGTACCATCTCAAGTGGTATGAAGCTATGTTTCTAAGGTACAAGATAACAGAGAGCTCAAATGACAGCTGTAGAGATGAGGCTGAGAGCAAGGCCATATATTAAAAATTGTAATATGGCGTTGTTTCAAGGTTCAGCTGGGTTTGATGATGCTTTTACAATGGACCCATATCCCAGTGCTGTATGTGTGTAGTCTCTTTCCACACACCTGAAATAAAACCTTCTGGAGGGTGCCTGGCTCCAGGTCAGCATATTCCTATCTTCTGTCAGTCAGACAGAAAGGGCCCGTCTGCTCTGTAGCCTGAGCTGGCATTGTGAGAGTTGTGACTCGAGACACTGCTCCAGGACAGACGTGTTGGCCAGGAAGCCCATGTTTTCTTGCTAGTCAAACAGAGCAATAACTCTTTCCTTGTTTTATCTACTGCAGGAATATGTTCCCGCCCAACCTGGTAGAAGCCTGCTTCAAACAGGTATGACATCCCACCTGCCCTATCACTTCCCTTGGCGCCCTGTGCCCTAGACCCTGGTCCAACCTACTTCGCTGAGGGATGGAATAGCAATTGCTCTATCCTGCCTTCACGCTTCCCCACGTCTGACTGCTCCAGGAGGCACTGCAGTTGTTAGTCTGTATTATAGCAGCCCCCACACAAGCTTTTGAAGCTGTCTGTAGATGGGGGCTTCAACCTCACACTCAGAGTCAGGAAGGGTTTGTGTAATCTCAGGTAGCGGACTTGGATGGGCAGTGAAATGGGAGCAGATTCTCCAAGGATTTGTCTCTTCTGTAGTGCTAGTGCCCTTGGAAGCAGTATAAAGGGTTATCAGAGAAACCAGAATATCTCGGTCCTAGGGATATGAGATGTTCCAATGGTCTTTTTTAACCTTCAACGCTGTGAACTTTTTGGTGAAAGTACTAAGCTAGGGAGCTTGAGAACAGGCAAGGCAAGTTTCCCACACAGGTCAGCAGTGAACTTGCGGTTCTCTCCTTTCTGTAGGAAGGGATGCAAGAGCCTAGCATGTTGTCCTGAGCTCCTGAACCAGGGCCTGGGAGTGCATCTGATAATCTGTGTCTTTTCAGTACAAGACGCAGTACAGCACCAGGGTCTTCACCAGAACCGTCCTCCACAGCAGCAATGTCACAGCAGGTGTGACAGCCACTCAGATCCCTGTGCCTGAGAACTTCACCGGCATCCTGGAGAACGTCACTCATGCCCTGGGGACCGTCTCCGAGGTGCTGACCTTTGAAGAAGTCATTCCCATCCCGGGCTCAGCCAATGGGGTGAACGCGCTGGGGCTGGTAGTGTTCTCCATGTGCTTCGGTTTGGTGATCGGCAGCATGAAGCAGAAGGGACGGGCCCTGCGGGAGTTCTTTAACTGCCTCAACGAAGCCATCATGAGGCTGGTGGCCATTATCATCTGGTGAGGAGCACGGCTGGTTGGAGCAGGAGGTCTGCAGGTGCAGTTTCCACTGACCTGATGAGAAGTGGGATAGCTTTAAGGATGACATGCACAGGAAAAGCAGATGGGCACAGCTCTCCTTTGGCTCCATCAGGCTGGAGGGAAAAGTCTGGATGGGATGTTTGTTCACATTTCATTTCCTGTTTTTTGTTTTTACCTTAGAAATATCAGGTACACCAGGACTTGCTTTCCTTGAGGCTGCTGGAAACATCCTTGGAAGACCAGAGAGCTGGAGTGGAAGATCTCTTAGCCTTACCAACAGGGGTAGGGTGTGAGGCTTTCCCACCAAAAGCTTTCCTTCCAGCTATGTTCCAGGAGTCTGAGCTACGAATCACAATAACCTGTTGCCACTTTCCTGCTACTCAGGGTGGCATCTGTATGCATTAGGTCTGAGAGCTGAGCTGGGTTGACAAGGTCAACTCAAAGTTTCTGCCTTTCAATTTGAGGTCTCCCAGATCCCAACTCCTCTAAAGCTCAGCTGCTTGTTGCTTTCTGTGTAAGGCTGCCTGTGCTACATGGTCCAGGTAAGCGAGGCACTGCTGAGACGAGTCTTCTCTAGAAGGCAGCATTTTTACCAAATCTTGTTATTTTAAGCTCTTTACTCATCTGGGCCTCAATGTCTAAATAGGAGTTTGTGGTAGATACCGTGAGACAGGAGAGATGCGGGGCTGGCAGAATACGTGGAAATGTCTGATGGGGAGAGGATCTGTCAGCCCCACGCCCTCTCCTGTTCTAGATCACTCCAGCTTTCATTCCCTGGTCTAGTTACAGTCTTTCATCTCAGAGCAACACCCTGGGCCCAGGGGGACAGGCCTTACACAGAAAGACACAAAGGGGAAGAACAACCCTGAGCTCATAGCAGAGCACTGGGGAGCCCCAGCCCCTCCGGGATCTTTTCCTCCCCAGATGAGCCAGAACTTGAGGTCCTGCTTCCCTAAGAAGAGATAAGAGTTGCCCACGGGCACAGAAGGGAGAGCACAAGCACAGCGGAACAAACAGACGTGCACACTGCTCCCAGAGACAATTTCAAGGTGCCTTCAACACCCCCTCCTTCAGCTCCCCCTCACAGTGAAGGAAGGCAGGGTGTTGAGGTATAGCACATGGGTTACACTCAGAAACTGCCTGTGCGCGTACAGTAGGTAGTGTCTGGAGAGACCTCCTGACTTAAAAAATCCTGCTGGCATAGGAGGCAGGGCCGTCAGCTGCAGCCCAGCACTCCTTCCTGAAGCCACAGTCTGCAGAGCATCTCCCAGGAGCTTGTTTTCACTGGGGAGATCTGGTCACTAGCCGCAGCCAAGAATGTCTTCTAAGAGGAAGGTCAGAGGAAATGAAATATTTGTGAAATCCTTTCCTGAAACTTTTCCAAACCTCCCAGGCTAAGTTGGAGTTTGGCATGTGGAGCTCTGAGCCTTGTGCATGAATTGCATGTGAGCTCTTGAGCTGTAGAGGCCAAGCCCTGAGAGGTGTGGCCGTGGAGCTGAGATTTTCTTTGGTCCAGTTATTTGTCAATGTTTAGTTTAGTGCCCATGATATTCTCCATGTCTATGTTATGGCTTCCATTCTGTGGAGCCTCACTGCTGCTCATGAGAGGCATTGTTATGGAGGGGGAAAAAAGCCATAAGGAATGGAAAGGGTAGCAGCGTACCTCAAAATGGGTTTTTATATAAGCTACGGCTTTCACAGGTGATGGTGTTCCCAGTCCTTGCTACACCAGATATGGATTCCCTGTATGTTCCTGTTCTCTAACTGTGAACATCTAACATCTGAAGAGAGCAAGGCTGATGTCTCAGCGCCTATGGGACACTATTGCTTTTACTCCCCGATTCCCTGTTTCTCCTGTACTTCCCTGTGCCTCTCAGTAAAAAAAAACACTCTCCGCCTAAGCTCTGTTAGGAAAGGAAGGGACTCTGAAGACTCCTCTAGATAATCTCCCCTATCAATTCTAGAAGGAGTGTTGTGGAAACATGTAGGGAACCCAGAAGGAGGAGGAAACCTCCACCAGTGCCCAAGCTGTGCGCACAACAGAGCGCTGGGGTCCCCGACAGTGCAACAAGTGCTGGTTTTTGACCATATGGTGAACAAGTCCCAGCTCTCTCCAGGTTTCTGGAAAAGAATCCAGCAGTATTATCCAACAATTAGGCTCAGTGAGCACTTCTGGTGTGCTGCCTTTTTGGGGATTTGTCCAGACAGCATGCATTAAAGCTGGTGTGAAAGTGTGGGTGCCAGTTCTGAGCGTCGGCCTTGTATTTCTGCCACAGGTATGCTCCAGTTGGGATCATGTTTTTAATTGCTGGCAAAATCCTGGAGATGGATGACCTAGCAGTGATGGGAGGCCAGCTGGGGATGTACACGCTCACCGTCATCGTTGGACTCCTCATTCATGCCCTCTGCATCCTACCACTGCTCTACTTCATCGTCACTCACAGAAACCCCTGGGTATTCATTGCAGGGCTTCTGCAGGCCCTCATCACAGCCCTGGGCACCTCCTCAAGGTACGATGGCTACACAGGCGTAGGGTTGGGGCTGGTGTGGATACTCTGGGGCTGCTTCTCAGCGCTCCATTGCCCTCAGTGCAGTACTGTGGTCTCACGAGTTCTAGCACTAGCAGCTTTTTGCACTGGTCCAGCCAAGCTCATTTGAGAGTGGAAAGATTCCCACTCCCCTGCTCAGGAGCCCTAATCGTGGCCATCTCTAACCATCAGTGCATGACCCATATTCCTCCGTAGCAACCACGGTGGTGACTCTGCTTGCAGCACTGAAATGCTGAGCTCAGGACAAATATTAAATCCCATAAATTGCAGCATTAGTCCCCATGCACATAACCTCTCGCACACATGTACTCGCGCACATTTGCACGTTTCTCTCTCCCAGGCACACATACTGTATGCAGCTGGCATTAAGCTCACAGGAGGCCTGGGCGAAGGCATAAACACCCGTACGTTCAATGACTCCCACTGCCATGCAACACAGCCGAAGCAAGGGATCGTAGGTAGCTGTTGTTTCACTAAGTGCCGTGTTTCTTGCTATGCTCATTTCCTGGCAAGCACGCAACGGTGTCTCCCACGTGCGTTCTCACACTGAAACACACTGCATTTTTCCTGCTCATGTTCTCTTTCAGAAACAATTCTCTGCTTTCTTGGCAAGATATATTCTCATACATGGGTCATTCTTGTCTTATGCACTGAGGGGGGTGAGAAAGGGCTCAAATATTTGTAATAGCTGGAAAAGGAGTTCTGGACTTGAGGCTCTGTCCTATGTACACTGAATCCTCCAGCATCACCTTCTTTTGGTGTTATACCAGCATCACCAGCCTCAGGGCTACACAGCCCCTGTCCCAGCCCCCTGAGGAAAGCCATGTCCGAATGTGCAACTGCAGCGTGCACCATATCTGAGGAAGCCTTGCTTAGACTGTTCTTTCTCCTAGCAGCTTCTGGCCTCTGGCTCACATGGCAGGGTGAAAAAGCAGGTGGGTAAGGTCATAAACCAGGCAGAGGCTTAGTCCCTCTTCCAAAGTCAGCATATACCCAATTCATGTTGTTTTGTGAATTCCTTTCAGCTCAGCGACTCTGCCCATCACCTTCAGGTGCCTGGAAGAAAACAATGGTGTGGACAGGCGCATCACGAGGTTTGTTCTGCCTGTGGGAGCTACAATTAACATGGATGGCACTGCTCTGTACGAGGCCCTTGCGGCCATCTTCATTGCACAAGTCAACAACTATGAACTTGACTTCGGGCAGATCATCACAATAAGGTGACTTTTGAAAGAGTTACGGCAGTACAGGAAGGGCTTCAGCTTTGTCGGTTTATCTGAGCTGTGGTCTGGTTCCTCTTTTGCTCAGAAGATACAATGAGAAAAAAAAAAGTATGGAAAAGAAGGGTGTACTACACCTCCAGCTGTAGAAGCACATATGATTTGGGCACCACGTCTTTGAGGCTCCACTTGAGCCCTTATTGCACTTCCAGGTCTGGGCCATCCCTTAGCTAGAGCTGCAGTGTGCAGTCTGTTGTGGACGGCGCCCTGGCAGGGGGGAGCCTGGCTGCTATGTTGATGTCCCATGTGTCACCATCCTGCTCGGTGACCAGGGCAGAAAGGCTGCCAAGGTGTTTTGTAGATGATGAGTTTGAGCTGCTTCCTGACATTTTTGCAAATGCGACTACCTCTTTTCTTCCCTTTGCTGATAGCTGTGCTTTCCTGTTCCCTCCAGCATCACTGCCACAGCAGCCAGCATTGGAGCCGCAGGTATTCCCCAGGCAGGACTGGTGACAATGGTTATAGTGTTGACATCAGTGGGGCTGCCTACTGAAGACATTACGCTGATCATCGCTGTGGACTGGTTTCTGTAAGTCCCCTGCTCAGCAGCATGCACTGCTCTGTGCTCCCTGCCAGTGCTTACAGAGTTCGTCTGTACTCCTAACGTCTCTGCTACGAGCAGTCTCAGTAACCTGTATCATTAAGCTTAAAACACACCTGTATCCATGAGACCTTTGCACAGTAGCCCTCTCTGCCCATGCTGGAGTCTTCACCATGTACTTCAGTGACCCAAGGCATCAGAGGTCACTCGCAGATCAGCCTGGTCACCAAGCAGAATGTCCTTAGTTTGCTTTATCTTAAAAGGCACCCAGAAACTATCTCCAGACCGATAGGGACAGGTTGTGCCAATAATAAGCAAATTCCCACTGCAGAGTGATGGTTCTGCACTACCAAACACGGAAAGTGGGATGAGTCTGGGCTGTACGAAGTTGAGGAGTGTTTAGATGGGTGCAGCTAGTCAGCTACATTGCTCCATTTCACCTTTCTTTTCCTTTTAAACCTTGGGACAAGTGATTTCACAGGAGCGCTCTTAGGAACTAGATTGGAGAATGCATTTGTGCACAGTCCTCGCTCTCTCAGTTTTCTCAAACACAAGAAAATCCCGACTCAGGGATACACTGTCAGTGTTCCCTCTGTTCTTCTGTATCTTGTATTGCTGGTTTGTAGCCAAAGCAGCCAAAGTCTGCTCCCAGCCATGGCTGAGCAGTTGGAAACAGTCTTGCCCAACACCTCCACTTCTCCTGTGAACTGTGCATAAGAACAGACTTGGCTGGAAAAGGCCCTGCCTCCTAAGACGCCAGGTTACCTCTTGTACTTACCCAGAAAGGTTGGTTTCAATCAGGTACCAAAAGTCTTATCTGTTACCACTGAAGGATGGGTTGCTGGGCTGGTGGTAGCTTCAGCTCTTGCACACAGTTGTGGTTATGGAGAATACCTCCTTGCAAAGGGTGTTTCAGATTTGCCATTTTGCACGAAGGATCTGGGGCCTTGCCTTAGTGTATGCTGTCCTCGCTGAGGAAATCTGGCTCCACAGCAGCATTAAGTCATAGGTTTGCACCAGAATTTCTGCACTTCTTGTAAAACAAAATGTAACAGATTTGGCGAGTGTAACAGATGTGGCCAGGCTCACCTGAGTCTGCAGAAAGGCCTTAGCAGGCCTTTGGAAAGGAAACTGTCCATGTGGACCACAACAAAGTTTCCCTGGTTCTGTGGTGAGTCCAAAACTTTTCAGTGAGAAACTGGGAGTGCAATAGGGCAGGAATGAATGGGAAGCCTGTGCTCAGGGCTGTCAATCCAGGAAGGCTCTCTGGGAGTAATCTGCTGTCAGTGTTGAAGTGTCAATTATTGGAGTGACTTGAAAAGTAGAAAAAGTTTCATTGCAGATGCTTCTTGAAAGAGTCTTCATCCCCTTAGCTGTTACTGAGAAGCTATATTTCATTTTTCTCTCTGATTTTTCAGGGACCGCCTTCGAACGACCACCAATGTCCTGGGGGATTCTCTGGGGGCTGGCATTGTGGAGCATCTCTCCCGGCATGAGCTGGATGCGCAGGACTGCGAACTTGGTAATCCTGTGATAGAGGAGAAAGAGCAGCTCTCCCACCTGGTTTGCCCACAGAATGACACCCACAGGCAGCCCAGGAGTGAGACAGTGCTGTGAACTCGGGCAGCAGAGTGCAGATTAATGCTTTAAAAAGACAAGACTTGACACAGAAGTCCGTAGTGGAGGACAGAGAAAGATCCACTCTCCAGGATGCACCCTTTTCTCCCCCCTCTGCCACACGCAGTCTTCCCTGATCCCGTTTCTCCCCCATGTCTTTCTGACTGGCATCAAAAAGGAGAAAATTAAACTGCAAAGAAAGTTTTATTCCACAAAAGCCTGATTTAGTCATTCTTATGGGGTCCAAGAGTTAGACCTGACTAAAGAAGACTCAGTGAATGAGCTGGCCTAGAAGCTCCTTCGTTTCTAAGCTAAAGTATGAGCACAGCTAAGTGGCAAGGTGGGTCGGGGACACCACCACCTCTGGACTGGCACCAAAATGTTGCCATGATGACTCCACCCTGCAGGATACAACTGCAAAGCCTTCACTTGGTCAGTGTCTTCCCCCAGGCACGTAAAGCTTTTAGCATTGGCCATTTGGAGATCTCTGGAGAGCCCCAGCACTCCCGTTCAGCTCTTCACTGGCAAGAGTGTTTATGATAAACACGGTGTCCTCTTTGCTCGCAGTCCTGGTGTTTGCACAGATACGCAGATGATGCTTCCTGAGAGCTGCTCACTCCTCCGGCAGCTCTTCTGGCTGCAGATACGAGAGTCACCCAGCTCCTGAAGGAATGTGGGACCATACAGCAGGGACAGGGCTTACAGTGCTGGCTGGTAGCACAAATAGGGGTCAATAGGCTTCTCATTAGTGGAAGCTGCTGAAGGATTGTGGAAGCAGCAAACAGTTAAATAATTTATTATATCCATTATTTAGCCTCTGAAACAGCTCTCCCCTCTACCAAGCTCTGCCAAACACCAGTTAACCTCATTTCTCTTAGCAAGCTGTTCTCCTCTTGGTGAAACCAGAAGGGGAAACGCAAAGTTTAAGAACAGTTTGTCACCCTGAGCAGCTGGGTGGTACCTCCATGCCAGGAATGACTCCCTGCCACCCCAGATTTGCTCAGAAAAGAGTTTCACTCCTCATCATAAGACTCCTAAGGCAACTGTTCCTTTGCTCATCTTTGGCTATTTTCAGAAGTTACTTCCCTTCAGTCACATTGCTCCAGAATGTCCTTCAAAATATCTCTGTCTTTCTACAGCACCTTATCTTTCAAAGGCAGTACTCAGTCACTTCCCAGCACTTGTACAAGTTTACCAGACCCCAAAAGTTATAAATGCAGGATAAATTTCTCAGTTCCTACCAAATGGAGCTCAGCTTCTGTTTAACACGCTTGGACATAAGCCCACACGACATCCAAAATATCTCAGAGGCTCAAGCAAGAAGTAGGGACCTGCTTCATCCATGCTCTATCCCCGTTCCCTGGCGTGGCCAGGATCACAGCCTGTATCTCTCACTCCAGTGAACAGGACCAGCAGGGCTTGCTCCATAATATCCAGGTCCATGAACATCCAAAAAATGAATGTCTAGACACAACCAGGAAGATGGAAAGGATCCACAGTTTGGGGGCTACTACAGTGTAGCTGTTCTGCTTTAGAAATGGCTAAGCCCAGAAACAGCACCAAACGGCCTTCTATTGCACAGCCAAACTATCTAACCTGGGCAGCTTTTGCTTGACGTCTACTCAGTATTCCAAACCCAGTACATCACTTACTTAAACCCCTCTGCCCTGCCTTTCCACTCTGATCCTTGTCATCCAGAAGCCCTGGCCTTACACTCAGAGGTGCACCTACGTGGACCTCGGGAAGGAAGACCTCTGAGGCATCAGCTAGAGTCAACTTTGCCAACCACACCCACACAACTGCCCATGCTTAATTCCCCAGCGCTAACAAAGCTTCCTAAAACACATTTCTTGAGATGTCCAAAGCCAGATCCTGAGGCTCTTTTTGGTCCTTCAGGAACTGCAGGATTATATATTGGTGCTGCCACATTCCACATCCAGAGTATTCTATTTTTATGGGCTGGATGATTGCTGGGAATCTGAGATAAATGGACAAATGCATCTCTTTCACCTAAAAGTGGATAACAGAGCAGGGTAAATAGAAGTGTACTGTAGCTCCATTTAGTAGTGGCTGGCCCCAGACCCTAAGGCAGCAGGCTGCTTCCTGACTGTGGGAGGCAGGTTGCTTATTCTGACAAGAGATCTGCTCTAGCAGGGGGCAAGTGAGCAGGATAACAAATTATTATCCTCCTCTTTGCAGCATTTTTTTATCTTGTATGAATACTATTATAATGTCTGCTCTTCTCCTTTCTAGACTAAACAGACCCAGTATACCCTCACAGGTAATAATCATTCACGTTCCTCTCCTCTGGACTTTTTCCTCGCTGTTCCACATCTTTCTTAAAGCGGAGTAACCAAAATTTGACGCAACAATCCAACTAAAGGTTTATTAATGCCGAGCACTGAGGAAAGAATATTTCGTGTACACTACGATTTAGATCTTAGACTCAAGTTACCGTAGTTTAACAGCGTGCTATGCATCAGCTGGTCAGGATAACCGTCCATGATGCATACAGACAGCAAATTCGAGTCTGTTCATCTTATCTTAAATCTCAGTGAGGTTAGACTCTTACTTTGATGAGATGGCTGTTTCTAAAGACTGGACCTTAATCAAAGAGTTTTAAGATACACTGCATTAGCTTGTATCTACAGTGGGCTAAGACAGCACTAGCTTATCATTAACACAGCTCAGCTGACATGAGTCTAAACCTTCATAAAGAACAGACCTGCTTATAAAACCCAGTAAAGCGCTTTATTTTTTCACAACAGCATGATAGCATTGACTGCACTCCAGTGGTAATACATGACAATTCCTACATCATTTTAAGCAGAACTGCTGCCTCGCTAGTAATTTCCCAGCCTGTGTTTGTGCAGTTGATTATCGTTACCTTAGTAATTTATATTTGTCCATATTGAACTGCATCTTGGTTTTCTTTTCTTTTTCAGACTATTTGTCCAACTTTTCAAGAAAGCATTGAATTCTAATCCTGAAGAGACTTCCTGTATGTAAAGGACAAACTGACGGATGAATTGGAAGAAAAGATCGTTGGATGGGACTCTAGCTCAAATGGGAATTAATTCTGGGAAGTCCTATGGCCTGGGTTATACAGAGAGTCAAACCTGATGATCATAAGGGTCCCTTCTGGCTTTATAATATATGCACGTGCTTTCTGGTTTAGAGATATTGCAAAGGGTCCTTCCAGCCCCATCATTTTTAAAAGCTATCTGGAAGGATCCTAATGATACTTTAATAAAAACTCAGCAGGAGTCTAACCTGTTTTCAGTTGCTGTTAGCAGACATGTAAACATATCACAAAAGGGGCTCTCCATACCACATCGCATCAACGTGATCTCGGACGTTCCCACAAAGCAGCACGCTCCCAGCCTTGCCGTTTGTGATTTCCTGCTTTCCACACAAGATTAACGGAGCACAAACGAGTAGAGACCTCATTTTCAAATACTGCAAACCAGTCTCCCACGGGAATTTCAGAATTCAGCTGGTAGTTTTTAGCTCTGGTGTTTACCCATGTTGTTAACCAGTTTATGATCGGGATTATCTATCTGTTTACAGTACCCAAACAGTAAAGTATTGTCAGGAATTTGCACATATATATATACACGCTCACCTCTATATATATATGAAAGGGGTGCACATGCACAAACATACATATACACAGAGTTAATTTTTTTGTTGCTAATCCAAGAAGGAAAGGCAATACTAAACTCTCACTCTGTCAAGATGCATACTTCATTTTGATGCCCACCTTGATTTATCCAACTAATCCCATCCTTAAAACAACAGAGGCTATTTTACTTCATTCCAGTAACGAGTCTTCCAAAGCAAAGTTTACCAGACGGAGCTCAATGCATGCTGATTTTGCGTCGTACCTGCCGGTGACGTAACGAGAACTTCTCGATGTATAGAGAAAGTTCTCCACTTCGTCTTTGACTTCCCTGCGCATATCCCAAGGACCCACACCCCCACTGCATCTGACTTGGCAAGGAGGCAGGCTTTAAGAACTCAGCCAAGAAGACAAAAGTGTTTGTACTCCTTCCAAACCCAACACTGACCTTGTACTAACTCAGCCTTCGAAACTGGATGACTGAAAGTATTAAATAATTTTATCAACTGCTCTTTTAAATTATCAGATATTTGAGAGTTTATGCAGTCTTTTCTTTACTGCAGTCCTGCTGCTTCTACTTGCAGAAACTTTCTGAGTTTCTCCTATTTGCAAACAGATTTATTCCTAATGATTAGATGGGCAACATTTGGGATGAAACAGAGAGCTATTGCAATGCATACATACATGAGGAGCTCTTGCATTAGGACACATCTCTTCAAAATTAAGAGAGAAAATCCATGGAGAATATGGATTTTCAGATGATAGGCCATGTGTCACATTATGTACGTGATACGTGCACATTGTTTCAGGAGTCAGATCTGCCCATGAAAACTGCCCTGAAATTGTACGGCCTTCTTTTGCTCTGCCCAAGGAAGAAAGAGAGAACTGGAAATCAGTGCTGTGCGGCGTGTTCATAGCATTCTGGCAGTTTTACCATGTTAATTCCTGAGGGCTTTTTCTTCATGCTGTGAGTTTCAGTGTTAATAAAGATAGTATGCGTATTTGAAAAATAAAGGGAAATTTTTCCACAATGCTTTTCCATGATGTTTTTTTCCTACTATTTTTCCTCAGGACCATGACCTTACAAAGTCAGGGATGTTACTTTTAGCATTATGTATTACACTTCCTTATCTCCATGTGCCTATGATGTCATGGGTCAAATACGAAATTCAGATTTTTACAAGGCCTTTCCCCGAAGCTTTTTCTTTGGTGCCATCTTTTGCATATGCCCATGAACTGGCAAAGCTGCACGAGGCTTACTTCCCATGTAGTACCCAGCACACAAGCACATACTTCCATCAGGGAAACCCACCCCAAACAAAGGTTATGTGGAAGAGGTGTCTGAGGCTTAAACAATAATGAGTTTACATTACTCGCTGAAATGTTGCATTAACAGCATGGTATTCGAGCAAAGTGAAAGCTGCTAGTTCTTCTCCCCTTGATATCCTTTTTTCTTGTCTTCTCTTCCCTAAGGGACAGGAGCCGAGGTGAATAACACAGCTGATGGGTCAAGGGCATCACCAGTCAGGACGCAGTTCCACAGTACCCAAGAAAGGCAAGCAGCACAAACTCAGAGAGGATGGCCAGGTCCGGCAGAGTCCAGACCATAAGACAATAGCATGGTGACGAAGCAGGTCTGCGGTCAGGCCAGGTCTGGTGATTGCTGGGCAGGCACGCAGTGACGGGGCAAGGCTGAGGTCAAGCTCTGAAAAGTTAGTCCAGGGATTGGGGTTCATATCAACAGGGTCCACAGCCAGGCATGGTCACAGCCGTTGCTGAACTAGAGGCCTGTACTCCTCCAGTGATACAGCTCAGCCTACGAAGGCCCAGGGCTGAGCTTAGAGCTCCTGGGCTCAGGTGAGGCTGCCCAGGGCCATTACGGCCTATTGGTGTACTTGGGGCGCACATGCAGACAAGTCCACACCTCCTGCCCTCCCAGCCATGCAGACCCTCCTGCGTGGTACAGGTGGTTTGGCTGAGGGATCTCTGGAGATCATCCGTAGTCAAACCCCTCTGCTCAAAGCAGGGTCAACTAGAGCAGGTTGCTCAGCACTTCATCCCGTTGGATTTTGAACATCTCCAGGGATGTAGGTTCCACAGCCTCTCTGGGCAACCTGTGCCAGTGTTCAACCACCCTCACAGTAAAAAAGGTTTTTTTTCCTGTAAATAGAACCTCTTGTATTTCAATTTGTGCCCGTTGCCTCTTGTCCTTTCACTGGATACCACTGAGACAAGTCTCAAGGCTCCCTTGAATCTTTAAATTTCATTTAATCTTTCAACAGGCTGGAGAAATGGGATGACAGGAACTTCATGAGGCTCAACAAAGAGAAATGCAAAGTCCTGCACTTGGGGAGGAATAACTCCATGCACCAGTACATGCTGGGGGCCACACAGCTGGAAAGCAGCTTTGCAGAAAAGGACCCGGAGGTCCTGGCGGACACCGAGTTGAACAGGAGACAGCAGTCTGCCCTTCCTGCGAAGGCGGCTGATGGGGACTGCGTCAGGAGGAGCCTTGGCAGCAGGCTGAGGGAGGCGATCCTTCCCCTCTGCCCCGCTCCGGTGAGGCCACAGCTGGTGTGCGGCGTCCAGTTCTGGGCTCCTGAATACAAGAGGGCACACCGGAGAGCCCAGGGAAGGGCCCGGAAGATGAAGGGACTGGAGCATCTCCCATGAGGAAAGGCGGAGAGAGCTGGGACCGTTCAACCTGGAGGAGAGAAGGTTCAGGGGGATCTTACCCACGTACACCAATACCTGAAGGGCGGCTGTAAGGAAGATGGAGCCAGACGCTTCTCAGCAGTGCCCAGTGACAGGACAAGAGGCAAAGGGCACAGACCGAAACACGGGAGGTTCCTTCTTAACACAAGGAAACACTTTTTTACTGTGAGGGCGACTGCGCACTGGCACAGGGTGCCCAGAGAGGCTGGGGGGCCTCCACACATGGAGATACTCAACAGCTGTCCGGGCACGGTCCTGGGCAACTGGTCCTGGTGACCGCCGAGGTCCTGGCCTGCTGAGGGTGAGGTCGGGGCAGTGGCCAAAGGGACATTCACGGGAGCCCGAGCCCATTTTTTGGCCACGCACCCCCTTCCCCCAACATCTCTCCGCTCGTTTCCCCGGGCCCGTTTGCCTCCTGCGCACCCGCCACCCCCGCCCGCGAAGCGGCGAGGCTCGGCAGCGGGCGGGGCGCCGCCAGGGGGGGGGGGGGGGGGCCCCCCCCGGGGGCGGGGGGCTCGCCCTGCGGCTGCCGGGCCTGGATGGATGCTCCGGGAGCCGACCGGGCACACCGGAGGGAGCAGCATTTTAAAAAACATATTGTCTCCGCTAATGAAAGCCACGAATT